GCGCTGGACCACGCCCTCGTCCTTCTTTGCAGACGCCAGAGCGGTCTCAACTTCTCCGATCTGCGCGTTTGCCTTCTCGCGTTCCTCGCTCAGCGCCGTAATCTGCAAAAACGGAAATTCAACTCCAGTAGGATGTCTACTTATACTATTTTGAGCAGTTTACATTTACGACTATACATATTACGAACGCACTTCTAGTTGAATCGTTTGAAATTCAGTCATACAGGTTTTGGCAGTTGTTTCGATTTCTGCAAGCAGTGCTTCATTTTCCGTGAGCTTCTCCTTCAGAGACTCAACCTCCTTCTCTAGGGCTTCGATCTTGGACTGCGTCTTTGCCTCGTTCCGGTGAGCTGTCTTTATCTCAACCTCGAGTTTTGTGAACTGATCTGTAACCTATAGAGGAATTTTGGATAGGAATTAGGCAGGGGATTTTGTGTTATACTTGGGTACTTCATAAAGTGACCGACAGAAAAAAATGTGTAATCACCTCCTTAATTTTCTTTTCAACAAGGCCTACTCGAGAGCGAACTGTAGCTAAGCGCGCCGTACCAGCTTCCATCAGTTTTGTCTTGAGGTCGTCTACCTCTTCACGTAATTTCTCTGCCTTAGAAGCCTTCTTTATGTTCTCTTTGGACAATGCGGCAACATTAGCTTCCAATTTCTCCCTCTCCGCCTTCGAAGGTCCAGCATTGGCGGCGCGCTTCTCCGCCTGTTCAGCCTCGCGTGTTAACGCCTCGGCCTCCTCCCGCAGACGCGCAATCTCCGCCTGTTGACAATTAAATAAATACCTACTTAAGCTATTTAAGTAGCCATGCATGCTCACGCGCAAAAAACGGAATTGAGTAAGGAGAACTGACCTGCCATTTAGCCATGTTGCGTTCGGCGTCTGTGACCTGCCGCTGCAGGTGGGTCACCTTCTCCTCCAACCATTCACGTTTACTGCGTAATTGTCCCAGCTCAGCCTCTTTGGTCGCCAACTGGCGCTCTTTTGCGGATAGATCTTCTTCGGTTAACACTGCCTCGGACAAACTAAGTCGTGCGTGCTTAGCTCTGGACACGCCTGTAGTCATTCGACCTGATAATTGGCGACCACCACCACCGGTCATGGCACCGGATGTTTCAATTAGTTGGCCCTGAAGTAAGGAAGCGTAATTCAATAAGTTACGTTTTGCAGATTCTAGAGCTTGTACATTTAGCTCAAAAAAAGAAATCCAGGGAGCAAGCAGTGAATGCGAAGAACTTGACGAACCTGCAACGTGACGACGCGGAATCGAACGGGATGCTTGAAAGCCCAGTCTGTAGCTACGTCCAGGGTCTCAGCTACTAGAGTGTTGCGGAGGCCGAAATAGAAGCACTGCCTCAGTGAAGGTTCGGAAACTTCTACTAAGTCGAAAAGTCGCTTGGCCGAGGGGGTCGGACCTTCAAAGGGCTTAGCAGACTCCATTTCCCAACGTTTCATTTTGTCCAAACCTTAGAGAAAATGGCACAATCCGAACAGCTGAAGTGTGCACGTGTCGTGTTATTTTTTGGTATTTGGATGATAACTGAATTAAAATGTGACTTAAAAACGCAGGCTGTGAACAGTGTCCAAAATGGTAGTGCCGCTTTAGTCGCAGAAACTCTTAAAGTTCTTGTTTACTGAAACATAATAGCATAAACAGGTATGCTAGGAGTGACTTAAAAAGCAATGGTTACCAATAAATGAGGCCTGGCCGAGGTTGTTGTATTTGAGGAACTCCACAGCCTTCTGCGCTTCCTCCATGGTCTGTACCACAATGTGGTCCAGTGCGCCGCACGCGGTCGAAACGGCCACATCGTAGCGTTGGGGAATCACACCCAGGTCGCCGAGGCG